GGAACATTTGACNCCTACAAATACTTGCAATCAGGGGTGGACCCACTTGAGGCCGAGTGGGGTCGGCTGCCCCCACTCGATTTTCAATTTTTTTTTATTTTTCTTGAGGTTTTTTCAAAACTTTCAAGTGAAATCCTATGATTTTTTGATTTCGCCCCCACTGAATTTTCATTCTGGGTCCGCCCCTGCTTGCAATAGATAAAAGTTAAAATACTTAAGCATGTCTCATCTATATTTAGGCAACTTGACGCCAAAAGTTTTCATTGAGAATGGACAAGATTCAATGAGCTATTAAGGAAGTGTTCAGACTATGACATCATCTAAGGAATATATGTCAACACATTTTTATGTTGGGTTACTCTTGGCCTATTGATCTGCGGTTGATGCATCATAGATTACTCCACTGAAACTAAGAAAGTTCAGAAGGCATATAAATTATATGAAAGAATGGCATAAATAAGTTCTATGTAGCTTACAAAGAGAGAAACACTAAAGAAGACAGAAGAGGTTTACAATATATGATGTTGTTTCAGCCTTATTTGCTTAGATGGAGGTTTTTACAAAGAAGATGGATAAATTCACTTAGACAGTACACACGGTGCACAATCTTACACAAATTTGTGTATGGGACAAATCATCTGAATATAAATTTTTCTTTAGCCTCTTCTCGCACATCTTTTTCTGAGGTTAACTAGCCCTTCGGGGCATAGTCCAATGACGTAAAGGATATGACTGATGTTATCTCACGCTTTGCTGGCAGTTGTAGTGTGAGGGTTTGATTTCTGAGACATGAAATTGGACTCTTTGTAGGTACAGTGTACAGACGGCTCTTGTTCCATGACCTGTTAGGGTATATTTCGAGATTTACTTCCCTCACAAAACTTTAGGGATGAGACGGTGGGAGCCCTCAATATTGGAGTTCAATCTTTATTCTGAGGTTAACTATTCAAGAGACTTTCACAGTCAGCAAAATAACCCATACTCCAATACATATAATTCAGGTTGAAAAAATCATTCAAATTTTTCTTAAGAAAACAAAAAGGGTGATGATGTAATAATCAAGGAAAACTATTAGGGTTCCAACAACATTGTTGACATTAAAAATTGCCAAGTGTAATTTTTGGCCAACTTTTTGAATGAAATTTCTGTTTTCTATTAGTAATGAAGGTTACAAGTACGTTTCTTGTTGTCCGGCCAGCAGGAGTTGTTTCCCCTTTTATAGGTGGGGATTTAATTTTATTTTCTAGGAATTATGTCTTTTCAATCTTATTGACTAAAGTTAAATGTCTCGTTAGCCACTGAACTTTTCTCTGTCCAACTTCATCACTCACCCGATGAAATCTGTTACTAAACGTGCCTACGTGGATGACGGAAAAATGAGTTGGTTAGTTAAATCACTCCAAATAATAACTCTCTGACCAACTAATCGCCACATTAGCAAACACACCTCCAAAACCATTTTCTTAAAAGGATAAAAGACGATTCTGAAATCCCTTAACTTCACCTCGCATACCCTGGCCCCCAAATCAATTAAATCGGCGAGAAGAGCGTAAGGTTCCCCAAATCCAACTGACAGGGTACAGTAATCAATTGTTCATTGGACCGCGACCATGATTTGAACTAAATTAAAGGTAAATTACCTGCATATTGTTAAGGGCAGTAGGAACAGAAGGATAATGTTGATATGCTGAAGTTGATTCAGTTAGGTCTGACATTTTCAGATGAAATGGGAAGTGGACCTGATACTTGTTGCTTTTGTCAATTTAATTTCCATGAATTCAATGTGAGCACGGACATTTTCACTAATGATTCATTTGATATTTTGAGGCAATCTGGGATCGATTTTAAGAAGAACAATGAGATGGGCATTGATGCAAACCATTTTCCCGAGCTCTCGATGTCTTCAGGAATCGTTTTGAATGATAGTGTGCATTGGGTTACTTTCCACAGTGGCTATGACTTTCGATATTTGCTCAAGTTATTGACTTGTAAGAATTTGCCCTTACTTTCCACAGTGGCTATGACTTTCGATATTTGCTCAAGTTATTGACTTGTAAGAATTTGCCCCAGTCAAAGTCGAATTTTTTTTATTTGCTCAACATGTAGTTTCGCATGTGCATGATAAGCATTTGATGAAGTTCTGCAACAACCTTCACGGTGGTCTAAATAAGTAGGCAGAGCTCCTGGAATTTGAGAGAATTGGCATTTTTCACCATGCAGATTCAGACAGTTTGCTTGCTTCTTGCACATCCAAGAAGTTGAAGGATAACTTCTTCAATGGTTCCATTGAAAAGTATTCTGACGTTTTGTATGTACTTTGTGGAAGGATAACTTCTTCAAAATCTAAAAAGTTGTAAAATGTATAATATGAATATAGAATGAAAACAGAACAATATACCCATAAACCATCAAATGTTAATGATGATGGTTAACAAAAAGTTACACTAACTGGTCCAAAACATTTCCAGTAACTATGTTCAAAAAATTTCAAGCAAACTTTTCCATAAACTGACATAGAAAATTTATTATCTCTGTGTTTCCACCTCGTCTATGTGTTGCAATTCATCCACCAAAACTTCAAAATTCATTTCATTGGTAGGTACATTAGATGCAACCAACTATCCGCCTTGGTTTACGTCAGTATTGAGCAAGGTGGCTGCTGGTCCGTCACGAAGGCTGCCTGTTTGCACTTCTCTCGCCACATGGGAGTAGGCATGAATTGGAAGGATACAGGGACGGATCCAGGATTGGATCCAAGATGGGGCTACAAAATTTCAAATCGGGAGTAAACTTCTCACTAAAGTGCATATAATGCTTCGACAACATAAAAAATTTAACAATAAACACAAATGAAAACAACAGAAATTTTAGAAAATATAGTCATTATTCAATAAAAAGTTTGATGCTTTAATATTCAAAAAAGCACCTAGCCTTAAGTACTTTTACCAAAAGAATGGATAAAAATGTTTCTTCACACTTTTTTTTTCTATTCCCAAAACAGAGGAACATGATTGGATAGAAATTTCGAATTGTTTGTTCAATTGAAAATATGCAATAGCAATAGCAATCGCAATATTAATATTGATCATATTTTCGAATTTCTACCACAATAACATTATAGTAGTTCAGACTTTTTTATAATAAATATTGCCAATTACTCGTTTATGACTAGTCAGAATAACTCCACAAATATGGCACATTCTGGTGCCTTACATTTTTCAACCAAAAGTAATAATTTATACACATCGAAATATATTGCTTATTCCCAGCACCCTATCAACTCTGCGTTTTTCAAGTTTACACACACCGAAAAAAAATTGTTTCAAATTTGAATTCATTTGCTGCATCCATTTGCACGCCTTCTCTAATCCAAGCAAAGAAAAAATGTTACTCGTTCGTTAGATTTGGTAGGTCGTCGAAGGGGTAGAATGGATTTGGGGTTCGGATTAGAGATGATTTTGGGCGTGAGACATTTCTCTTTTCATGACTTCTGTTTCCCCCAAATTTTAGGTTTTGATTTCTCTAAGGAAAGGCAAAATGATGTGGCGATGAGTTGTTAAGGGAGTTATTATTTGGAATGATTTAACTGTACAACTTATTTTTTTGTCATCCACGTATGCACTTTTGTTTAACGGATTCCATCTGGTGAGTGATGGAATTGATTGGAGCAAAGTTCAATGGCTAATGGGACAATTGACGAATTAGTGAGTAAATCGTGACATGGTGTAAAGTTCAGTGGCTAATGAAACATTTAACTCTAGTGCTGAGCTTGATTTGTGTGCGGGCGATCTCTTCCTTGATTGGTTTATGAGGCCGGTCCCAGTCAAATTACAATAATATCCCATTTTATCAAGAAATCATAACCTGTTCCAAGATAAGGATTTATGGTAGTTAATTAGTGGATTTGGGTAGTGATGACATCAATTCTCCTAAGTGTGGCTGACCAATTCCGTGATTTGATAAGGTCTAAGGAATCTATAATTATGTTGTCTGTTGAAATTACAACGGCTATGAAATTGAGCCGATGTAGAAAACGCGAATTGACAAGTTGATGAGATAGGTGTGAAGTACATTTTAAATGAGATCGGAGATGAGTGGTCAACAAATAACCCCCAGGTTAGTGCTCTCTTCATGGAAGGACTGATCATCGGACTTTGTCGGTCCTTTTCCAAATAAGTATAATTATTACAGCATTTAAAGGGCATGCCAAGTGTCACGTTCCTACTTGGATGAGCTATCTACCACTTTTAATGGCTTTCTTTAGAAGTTTTGTCAAAACTACGTAGTTTTAAGTTGGTGAATCTGGGCCATCCCTTTTTTCCTCCATTTTTTCATCTAATGGTCTAGGTGGAGTCCCTTGGTTTTCCTTCATTTTAAACCCCTTTTTCCTTTTTTCATTTCACCATTTTGCATTTGCATCCGTTCCCTCTCAAGGAAAAGAGAACTTCCCTTTGCATTTTTCCCTTCCCGAGTGAGGCTGTCTATCTCCAGCTCTCAGGTATTCCTCTTTCTAGAAAGTGTCTCTATTAATTTTTCTCATTTTTCTTTTTCACTTTAGTCATTATATAAGTTCGGACGTATCCATAGTATGCTCTTGGGACAATCAACAGGAAGAATCAGTCCTCCCCACTTGTAGTTCCTCTACAAGCTGTTGAGAAATCTTAATACCCATCCTAATCACCATCGTTAACCCTGTAGAGTTTGGTCAATTTGTAGTCATGGAGTCAAATTCTAAGCCCTAAAAGAGAGGATGTTGGGTTACGAGAGGGTGGTGAAGTGAATATTATGGAGGAGTAGGGGGCGAGCTCCTATGGATCGGTGGTAATGGAGATATGTTAGCCAGCTGGGAGGCCAAGTACAGTATCCCTAGCTCGGTAGAAAGGGTAGTTCTTGAACCATCTGATCGAGCTGATGCTTTCCTAGTGAGATGCGTAGCCTTGAATTTGGCTATCTTGAGAGCTGGTCTTAGACTCTATTTTCCTAGGGTCATCCTAAAATTTCTTCCATTCTGGGGTATCACTCCGACCCAGTTATGCCCTAATTGGTGGCAGACATTGATTGCCACTCTCATTCTAGAACCAGGCGAGAAATCTCGAGCTTAATGTAGAGCAGTTCAACTCCCTTTTCACATTTAAAAAAGATAGAAAGGACTCCGGTTGGTGGTATACTGGCATTAGGCCTAGCCCGATGGGTCCTTAGTGTTAGATACCCTTTCCTTAGTCAAGAAATGGAATGATGAGTTCTTCAGTGTGTTGGGAGAATGGAAGTTCCATCCCGCCGAGGTGAATAGAGAGGATGTCATTCCCACTCTCTGTCACTCATTTTGTAAGTGGAAGCCTTCTAAATTTTTGTTGAGCTAGCTAATAGAACGTTTCTATCTCTCTTTCTTTTTTTTTTCTTGCAGGTTTACAAGGAAATGACTTTGACCTCAGCTACTTAGAGATGAGCTGAAGCAGTCAGAGCTTTGCACAAGGGAAGAAGATTTTGCAAGTTTTTGATTATTGACTCCAACTTGTTCCAGGCAGGGTTGTTTCAATCTATTTCCTCGACCTCAACAACAGCCAGTGCTTCTTCTTCAGCTCTTACTATCTCTAGTAAGGAGTTTGAAACAATTGTCTTCTCGATATTACTCTATTACTATAGTCAATAATTATATATGAGGAACTACTGAACTCAATCACTTGTTGTTGTTGCTCTTTAGTTTTCTGTCGAGGTCTATCTTATAAGGGTACTCAAATTTGGTCAGTGATCTTAAGTGCTGAATTTTTTCCTTCTTGTGCAGGTTGAGATCCAGGTATGTTGGTGTATAAGGCTGCGTAGGCAGTAGTTGGAAATAAGAGCAAAAAGAGGGAGGCCCTAATTCAGGTTGAAAGCCAACCTCCCATTACTGAGGCCGAGGCTTAGGAGAAGATTCAACCATTGAAGTATAACCACTCGAGGTATTGCCACCTGGGGAGCATATAACGGTCTTATCTCCAGAGCGATTTTCTCTAGTATTGTCCATACAGGGGCCGAGCTTTGCGCCTTTTCCTGGTCTTCCTATTGCTTGGGCTAGCCCTTCCAGGTCACAATAGAGGTGCCTAGACTTGCAAAGGCTAAGTTTGGACGGTTTGGTGGCCTATCAACCTCACATTCTTCTGGACTTTCTCCGCACTCTATCTCTATTGAGAAAGTCCAAACTGTAATCCCATCTATCCTCAACAAATTAGCCAACCTTCTCATGAGGAGCTGGAATGAGAAGGAGTAGAGCTTTTTCACGAAAATGCTAGTTGGGGAGGTGTCATATCTATCCAGGCCACAACCACAAACCCATTTTGTATATGATGTTTGTGGCTGATAAAGTACAATACTCACTTCATTCTTTAGGGCTCAAACTCTACTTTCATATTGTTCCAGGTGAAGGCTAAGCTCGATAAGATGCTTGAGGTTAAGAACCAAGCAGTAGGCCTCTACGAGAGCATGGAGGTGAATAAGATGAGGTTCACTGAAAGAGAGAGAGAATATGAAGATTGCCTTACAAAAATGGGAATAGAGTTAGAGGCAAAATTGGCTTTGGAGCTGAGGTTAATGGATGATAATGAAGTCTTAAAGATGCCAGAGAAGAAGGCCTGTCAGCGAGTAGCTACTGCAAAGAAGAAGGCTGAAGAGGAGCGAGCTTGGGCTGAAGAGGAGCGAACTCGAGCTGATGATGTAGTGAAGAGAGCTGAAGAGGCCACCAAGAGGGCAGAGGAGGCTAAGGCCAAGGCCATCATTGTAGTCGATCTTTGGAGGACCTCTCCTAAGTTTGATGCCTTAGCTCAGGACACTTATATGGTAGCTCTGGAGGAGATAGTGAAACACATCGACAAGGAGAGACCGAACATCGATACTGTCTTCTTGGTGAAGGTTCTGGACAAGCATAAGGAGGAGCTTTAGAATCTATCTGAAGCGACGGGGGTTTCCATCCTGATGAAAATATCAAGGAGAATGCCCTCGTCCTTCAAGATCCGCCACCACATCAGCTTCCATTATTTTTGAATATTGTATTTAACTTCTAGCATTTGCACGTTCTATCATTCGGTTAACTTCCAAACTGTTTGTATTGATCTTTTTGTGTTAGAGGAGTTATCATTTGAGCTCTACTTTTGTATGAATTGTTTATCGATAAGTCCTTAATGATTGGAGGGATACTAGTATAAGTGTTGCAGGACATGTAACCTTAGCTCCGCATACTGCTAGAGCAGTGCTTTGAGAATTTCTTTGAGAGGAAATTCCTCTAAGTGTTATGGCGCTTGCGATCTTTGCTTGGCCTGTTATTAGAGTAGGGCTTTGGAAATTTCCTTAGAAGAAAATTTGTCCAAGTGTTGCAGCACATGCAAATTTGTTCGACCTACTGTTAGAGCAGAGCTTTGAGAATTTCCTTGAGGAAAAAATTCATCTAAGTGTTGCAGCATATGTAACTTTAGTTCGGTTTGCTATTAGAGTAGGGCTTGGGGATTTCCTCAGGAGGAAATTTATCTAAGTGTTGTAGTACATACAACTGTAGTTTGACCTACTGTTAAAGCAGGGATTGAGGATTTCCTTAGGAGAAAATTCATCCAAGTGTTACAGCACGTGCAACCTTAGATCAATTTGCATAGCATATTTAATGATAAGGAACCCCTTGTTATTAATAGCATGGTTAAGGGTTTACATAGTACAATGGGTTTTACTGGTAGTATTGCCTAAGATGCTCGACATTCTACGGATGGAGTAGGGGTTTTCCTTCCATATCTTTCAATTCGTAGGCTCCCTTAGATAGGAGTTTGGTCACCTTATAGGGTCTCTCCTTGTTAGCTAGGAAAGCTCTTTGTAAAACCAGGAATCCGATCTCAAATGCCCATTTCCACACCTTCTGATTGTAATACTTGGCATTCGTTGTTTATACATAGCGTTTCTGAGTTTGATCTCCATCTCTCATTCATCTATCAAGTCAAGCTCTCCACGGAGGACCTTTTCATTTTCCATTTCATTGTATGCTGCTGTGTGGAATGATGATATCTCGATCTCCAGTGGGATTACCAAACCATAACATATTGGAGAGCTGTTCAACCCACCTCTCCTTTAGAGTGTTGAGCTTTACCTTTAACATATGTTTGATGATTTTGTTGATGGCCTCGACTTGGCTATTTGCTTGTAGGTGGTTTGTTGTTGAGAATTGCTTCTTGATGCACAGTTCCTCACAAAAGTTTGTGAAACGGGGATTATCGAACTATTTTCCATTGTCAGTCACAATGGAATGAGGTATTCCGAACCTACATATGATCAATTTTTATATAACATCGGTAGTTTTTTGTTCCGTAATCTTGACAAGAGGTTCTGTTTCGGCCCACTTAGTGAAGTAATCGATTGCAACGATGACAAATTTGGTTTTTCCCATTCTAGTGGGCATGGGACCAATTAGGTCAACCCTCGACTTTGTGAAGGGCCAAGGGATAATTACAAAACTGATCTCTTGTAGAGGTTTTTTGATGATGGGAATGAGGTATTGGCACTTGTCGCACTTTCTCACAAATTGGAGTGCATCTAGTTTCATTGTGGTCCAAAAGTACCCTTGGCATAAGATTTTGAGGGCCAAAGATTGTCCATCAGAGTAGTTTCCACACATACCTTCATGCACTTCTTGTAGGGCATATAACACTTCTTTCTCGTTTAAGCATCTTAGCAAAGGGGTCAAGTACCCTCATTTATAAAGAATGTCATCAATCAAGGTGTACCTAGCAGACCTGATTCGAAGTCTTCTCGCCTTAACGGGATCATCAGGGCATACCCTAGTCTTTAGATGGGAGGTGATTTCATCTAGCTAACTAGGCTTAGGGTCTATTACCATTGATATGGCCTCTATCCTTTCAATGGCAGAATGTACAACCTTTCCAACTAGGATACTGTCGAACTCTTCTACTCATTTGCTTGTGGCCAGCCGGATTAAGGTGTCGACATGGCCATTCTTGGATGTGGGATCTGCTTGACCTGAATGGTTTGGAAGGTTTTAAATTCCTGCCTGACAATTTTGAGGTAACTGTCCATCCTTTCTTCCTTAGCTCGATAGATCTCATTGATTTGGTTGACTTCCAGCTATAAGTCATTTGTGTTACTAGGCAGGTAATCCTTAACTCCTTGGCCATCCTTACTCTTGTGATTAGTGCTTCCTATTCATTTTCGTTAGTGGAGGTCTTGAAGTCGAAGAGTAGAGCTTCACAAAACATCTACTTATCGGGACTGACCAAGCTTACCTTGGCTCCAGAGATTGATGTTCAGTGGATGAGCCATCTATGTGGAGTTCCCAAGGAGCATTATGCAGCTACTTTTCCATAGGTTCGGAGCTAAATCTTGCCACAAAGTTGGCTAAAGCTAGGCATTTTACTAAGCTGCGTGGTCTGTACCTTATGTCAAACTGTTCGAGCTCCATTACCCATTTCACCATCCTACTTGAGGTGTCAGGCTTCTGAAAAGCTTACCTTAGCGTACAATTAGTCAAAACCTCAATGGGATGATCCATGAAGTAAGGTCATAACTTCCTAGCCACCATAACGATGGCGTATGCTAACTTCTCTAGTGAGGAGTATCAGAGCTCGACTTCACAGAGAGCTTTGCTAGTATAGTAGATAGGGTGTTGTATTTCTTCTTTGTCTCTGGCCAGGATAGCGTTGATTGTGTGTTCTGATACGGCAAGGTACAATATCAAGGTCTCCCCTGTCTTAGGTTTGGATAGGATGGATGGCTAGGGTAACTGTTTCTTTAGCTCATCAAATGCAATTTGACATTCAGGGATCCATTCAAACTTCTTCCCTTCTCGTACATCAAAGAATGGTTTGCATCAATCTTTGGATTTTGAAACAAAACGGCTGAGGGCAGCTACTAGTCCAGTTAGGCTTTGAGCCTCCTTTGGTTTTGTTGGTGCTCTCATTTCGATGATGGCTTGTATCTTTTCAAGATTTGCTTTGATCCCTAGGTGATTTGCTATGTAGCCTATAAATTTTCCCAAACTTATGCCGAAGGTGCACTTCTTCGGGTTTAGCTTCATCCAATATTTTCTCAGGATTTCAAACATCTCGACAAAGATAGCCAATGGTCCTTTACATCTTTGCTTTTAACCAACATGTCGTCAACATATACCTCTATGGTTTTGCCGATTTGATGGGCGAACATAGAGTTTACAAGGCGTTGATATGTAGCTCCGGCGTTCTTGAGCCCAAAGGGCATCACTTTTTAATAATAAAGACCTCGATCGGTGATGAACGAGCTATGTTCGTGGTCTGATTCATATATGGGTACTTGGTTATATTCCGAGAACGCGTCCATGAAGCTAGTAGCTCATGCCCAACCGTGGCGTTGACCATCTGGTCTATCCTTGGTAAGGAAAAGCTGTCCTCTGGGCATGCCTTATTGAGGTCGGTGAAGTCTATGCACACTTTCCAATTTCGATTATTTTTCTTTATGAGAAAGGGATTAGCAATCCACTCGTGGTATTTAGCTTTAAGGAACGAGTCTCTACTACTTCAGTCGAATTGAGAGATCAATATTTAATCGGTGACAAGCAATTCCAGGATCAATTCCTTCCATGTCTTCATAACTCTAGGCAAAGATGTCAAGGTTCTAACGGACGAACTCTATTATCTGTCCTCGAATTGGTGGTCGTAGCTCATCGTCCACCTTGAACCCTTTTGTTGGGTCATCGTTGCAAACTAGTATGCTGTCCAACTCTTCTATGAGCTTTCCGCCTTTGATCCTTAAGCGTGGATTCAGTGGGCTAAGGTCGAGATCGTACGGATGTATCATATATACGTCTAGGGGTGTACGTGTATTTTGGCAGATAGGATGAATTTTCATCTGGCATTTTTCAGTAAGATTCTTATTTTCCTTGATTACTCCTACGCCATGGGGCGTAGAGAATTTCAGCGAGTAATGGTATAGGAACACAATGACTCTGAGGCTGAACAGTAGGGGTTGCTCCATAATAGCATCATAAGGTGAGGTTGAATCAAATACTACGTACTCGTCCTTTAGCTTAGTCCTTTGTGATGTGTTACTGACCTCAACTGTGAGCTTGATTGATCCTTTTCCCTGATCAAAGCTCCATTTATTTCGAGGATTATATTTGAATAGGATCACAAGTAGTGACCCGGGATACCAATCCAATTGAGCGTGCTGGTATGAAGTATATGGAGAGTGCTCTCGGTGTCTACCAAGACCTTGGTATGGTAACTCCAACGGATATCGAGATCACCAAGACCTCGAGATAAGGATCTTGGTCTGCCTACTTATCATTGAAGGGTACTTAGGTCATCTATGGGCTTCCATCGGTGTTTCTCAGATATACCGATCTCTGATAGGTCGGTCACAATGGGTCTTTTCAGCTTTGCTTCTCTGTGCCTGGCATTTTGTTCACCTCCTATCATGTAGATTTGAGGTTTGGCATAATTGACGTTATATTGATTTTTGCATATGATTTCAGCCCCACAGTAGGTGGAAAACTTCATACAATAGTGGTAGATTGACATAATTGCTTTGAGCTCGTGTGGCATAGGCTTTCTAGGTATGGCGTTGTAGTTGGAGGGCAAATCAACTATTACAAAGTTGGTAAGATTCTCATTTGGCAAGGGGCCTCTCCTAGTTCCACAAGCAGAATGATTTGAACTCGGGCTTTGATGGGGTCCCAAGGAACCCCTGTAATTTCCTGAAATATGGCTGGAGATATCGTTCTGAGATCTCCCTCCATCTCAAGGTTCGAGCGTATAGATATTGATTGAACTTTCATTGTCCACAAGTGTCCAATGCACTTGTACTCCTGCGACACGCATGGTTATTATAAGGGCATCATTATGGTCCTGTAGGAGCCCTCAAGAATGTTCTTAAGAAAACTAGAGATGCTTGAAGTCTGGTGCTGCATTGGTGTTGACTTTGAATAACGCACCTTGTAGTTCGGCCATATGCGAACATTGTGGGCTTGTTTGCATCTTTCCCTCTTGGACCCCTT